TGTTAATCAGCGAACCGATTCATCAACTACTTCGCTTCGAGTGGCGCCTCGAGGACGCCGCTTCCCTCGTGCACCTCAGCGATGCACGCTGCCACCTATTCACAGCTAGAGGTGTGAAGAGACGCTATTCACAGCATGCACCTCAGCGATGCACGCTGCCACCGCGCGGCAGGAGGCTGCGTCGACGCCTCCGCTGTCGGAAGGAGGAGCGCCTCTCCAGAGCACCACCCGCCGCGCGAGCGCGTACTGCGCCTATGGGACGTGTCTCGGACGTGTCTCGGACATGCCTCGGACATGTCTCGGACATGTCCTGGAGAGCGTGCTGCGCCTTGAGGCTCATGCAGTTGTCGTCGAGCACTTCAAACGCGGAGCGCATCACCCGCTCTGCGGAGGCTCCGCCTATGGGACATGTCTCCGACATGCCATGGACGTGTCTCGGACATGTCCTGCACCCGCTCTGCGGAGGCTCCGCCTATGGGACATGTCTCCGACATGCCATGGACGTGTCTCGGACATGTCCTGCACCCGCTCTGAGGCGGCTCTGCCGTTCTCGACGCCGCCAACGCTCACATACATCGACTCCTCCCCCGCCGCCGAGTCGGCCTCGCCGCCGCCCGCGCCGCCGCCCGCGCCGCCCGCGCCGCCCGCGCCGCCCGCGCCGCGGCTGCCGCCGCTGACGGCGGCGAGGGCGGCGATGGCGGCGGTGCCCGGCACAGACCTCAGTCCGCACCCAAAGGTGTCGAGGGGCGACGCCGCGAGCTTGGCTCTGCCGGAGCGCCGCACGTCCGCGCCGCAGCGCGCGGCCGCCGCTCCTCCGTCGGGGACGGCCTCGGCGGCGGAGGAGGCGGCGCCGAGCTCGTGCCGAGGCACGCCGAGAAGGTACGTCGAGCCAGACTTGGTGACGGCCGCATCGCCCTCGCACAGCGCCGGGTGGGAGTGCAGCGGCGTCGGCGGGTCCCCGGCAGCGACGATGGTGGACGTGGTCATCAGCTCGCCCTGCCGGAAGCCCTCCCGCCCGAAGACGTACCCAGAGAGCGCGCCGTCCCGCGTCCAGCCCCACTGCTGCAGGAGCGGCGGTGCGGCGGCGGCCGAGGCCGGCCCGCTCGCTCCGTCCTCGAGGAGGGACGGAGCGGCGGTGTCGAGCTCGATGACCTCGGCGTCCGACGCGGAGTCGTCAGAGTCGGAGGGCGCTCCCACCGCGTCGGTCGCTCGCTCGGCCTGCTCTGACATGGCGCTCGCATCAATTTAAAGAAACCTGCGCGCGGCGTTCTAGAGGGCGTTTCACTAAAAAAGGAATCTCCGCGTAAAATTTCTTACAAGTTTACCTTCAGCGACGCGCTCGCCAACTCCGGAATCGAGAGACTTTGCACGGTCGTCTCGCCGCCCTGGGCTACTTGAGCACGATCACATCGCCCTCCGTGCTCGCCGGCGAGGCCGCCCCGGCGGCGCGAGTCAGTGTCCGCGTGCAGGCCGCCGGCTCGGGCGCCGAGCTTCGCCTCTTTGTGTGCTTGCGGCAGCGGCAGCCCCGCCGTCAGCGGCGGGCGGCGGCAGTGGCGGCGAGTGCAGAGGCAGCCGGCCGCACGGTCGTGGCCTTCGATCTCGGCTCGTATGCGAGCGCGATGACCGACGCCGAGGTGGGCGCGATGGCTCGCCAGCTCGGGCTGTGCTACGGCTACAACCGAGGCCTGCCACAGCCCTTCCGGCTGGCGCTCTGCGGGCTGCGAAACGCCGCTCCCGTCGCTGCACGTCTGGAGGCACACTGCTGGCGGTCGTGGGTGCTCGGTCGGCACGAGGAGCCGCCGTGGGGCACCTGGCCCGCCGCTTCGCTAGTCTACCTGAGCGCAGACGCCGAGGCGACCCTCGACCGCATCGAGGCTGGCGACGTGCTCGTCATCGGCGGCTTGGTGGACCACGCCAACGTCGCGAGCCGCGTCGGACTTGCTCGCGGAGTCGCCGAGGCGCACGCGGTCCGCACCGCGCGGCTTCCTCTCGACGGCATCGTCAGCGTCCGCAAGACGAGCCTCACGTGCCTGGCCGTCCTGCAGATCCTCGCCAACTTTGCGGAGAGCGGAGACTGGGCGGCGGCGGTGCGTGAGGCGCCCGCACTCCACTGCGCGCCGATGCGCAAGTACGTCGTCTGGCACTGAGGCTGCCGGCGCCGTACGTCTGCAAAGTTGGATTTTCGTGTTTACCCAGTGTACTTGGAGCACTTGGAGTGCGGTCGGTAACCTCACGCCCAGCACCGGGGAGCTAAGAAGCGCACCCAGTTGGCCAGACGATCGGTATCGGGTTGCGGGCTAAAAAAAGAAAGAAAACACACAACCCAAGGGTTGCGGCGGCTACTGGGTTGTGTTTTTTATATGTTTTTACGATTTTAGGCATTGTGGGGTTGGCACTCCCATCGACCCTCATGACCTCCTGCGGTCTCTGAGATGGACACCAGTAGGTGTGGGACCATAGCCAGGGTACACTCGAAGGCTGGGTAAGCAGTAGAGGTCGATACTCGACGCGTCCCACATGGTCTGTGTCGCTGTCGGCACGCTCGCCGCCACCACACAGGGATTTTAAGGAGAGGTGTGTGATGCGCTAGCCGTCGCCCACCCTAGGGATGTTGAGTCCTGGCTCAACAACGCAGGATTTTTTTATATTACCCAAAAGCTAGGCTACACAACGCCCTCTATGTTGGGTCAAGGCGGGCGCCTAGAAGAAAGCGCCGCCCCCCGAGGGGGAATCCCACCCGTACCCCGAGCCCCCGTCGAAGAGCGCGTCGAAAGCGTCGTCGCCTTCGTCGTACTCCTCCCCTTCAAAGCACCGGACCGGCTCCCCCCGGCCGTGCTCCCTTGCCCAGCGCATCTGCCGAACATGCGCACGCTGCTCCTCGCGCGCCCTCTCCTCCGCGGCGCGCGGCGTCCACCCGGTGGACGCCAACAGCGACTCGAGCGTCGCGCGATAAATCGCCTCGCCTTCCTCGCGTGATACCACCTCGCCCGCCTCCTTCGCCACCGCCTTCTTCCCACGCCGCGATAGCTTCTCGCCGCCCTTGCTCGCCAGCGCCGGCGATGCCGTGGCGCGCCCACCGCGCCCGCGCGCCCGCGCCTGAAAGGTAGCCCTGCCGTGCCCGACGGCCCCCCGCGCCCGAAGGATGACCCGCGCCTCCTCCTCCGTCACGGGCGTCTCGCGACCCCCTCGCGCCTGGAGGATAGCCCGGGCCTCCTCGTCCGTCACGGGCATCTGCGTCCTGTGCTGCAGGGCAATCCTCAGCGCCCGGACGCGCTTGTCCTCCTCGGCCGTGGCCGCCGCGCTCGCCTCCGCCGCCCCAGAGTCCCCTCCTGCCACCGCCTCCTCCGCGTCCGCGCCGCTGTAAGTAGAATCCGAAGCTCCGGCGGACGCAGCAAGTGGCTGCGAACTGTGCCCGGTGTCGGTATGGCGCGTCGCTGAAGGATCGGCAACAATTAGGGTCTTCGGAGCGCGGCGGCCCGCCTCGGCGGCGGCAGCGGCGCCCTCCACCTCCTCCTCCCCCCCCGCGGCGGCGATCGTCCCATCGCCGCAAGCCGGCAGCGCGGGCGCCACGGGGTCCATATAGGCCCCCGGGGCGCCGCCTCCGGTTCCGCCTTCCGCGGCCTGCACACTGCAGGCGCCGCTGTCCGCCTCTTTGGGGCGCGCGCCGCCGCGGCCCTCGCCGCCAGCCGCGGCCCCGCCGCCGTGCTCCTCGCCAGCGGAGCCACTCCCAGCTCCGCCGCGGGGGCCGCTTGCGGCAATCGCATGCCCGTCTGCGGCACGCGCGGCACCCTCGGCAGCGTCCGTACCGCCGCCGCCGCCAGCGCGCTCGCCAGCAGCACCATCGCCGCCGGCCATCGCGCTGCTGCCCGCCTGCGCGCCAGTCGCAGCCCCAAGCGGGGGCTCGACCAGAGACAGGGAGGCAAAGGACGACAAAGCTGCCTCAGCCGCGTCGCAGCTGTTCAGGGCCGGCAGGCAGCGGCACAGCTGACGTTGCACGGTCTTGCCGAGGCCGAGCCCCTCGAGGCCGTCCTCGGCGACCGCCTCGAGCAGCGCCGCGACGTTGCCGACGTCCTGGGCCAGCAGCTGCGGCACCACCTTACCGGAGACGAGCGCAGAAACGCGCGCCCGCTCCAGGAGGGCCGCGATATCCTCGTCGAGATCGATGGACGGCCGCGAGGCCGCCATCACCGTGGCGCCCGGCCGCGCGGCCCCGGGCTGCGGGTCTGTGCTCGCCGGCGGCGGTGGAGCGAGAGGGAGCGAGCAGTCTTGGGCGCCACGGCGCCTTTCGTTGCTGGTAGCGAGTCGACGCAGGATTTTTGGGGAGGGTACAAGCAGCGTTAGGGCGCTCTCGTCACGGTCGGGCGTGCGAGGCTCCTGTGCCTCCGGTGAAGCCGATGCTCAGCCCTCTCCCACCGTCGCGGTTCGCCCGTCACCTCGCCTCTCCGCAGGGTTCATCTCTCGCGCCGTCTGCATCTCTCCGCCGGTCGCCAGCACCCGCGCCACCGACTAGCTGCACCGCCACTCGCGACGCGCCACCCTCGCCCACAGCCTGCATACGCGCTACTCCCGCCGTGCCTTTGCTACCACATGGATCGCATGTCACTGCAAACGCGCCCGCAGCCGCGCTTTAAAGGTCTGCCGTGCTGGCTGACGATCTCACTCTCCCGCTCCTATTGCATCTGCCTCCCGCCCCCCAGCTCACATTTCACGCTGCAGTAGGTGCTCCTGTCGACGCTGCCGCCGCTGCCACCGCTACTGTCACCGCTCGTTTGATAATCGACGCCACGCTTAGCGGCAGCGAGATCCGAGGTTCAGTCAACTTGCCTGGTGCGCTCTTGCGCGTGCCTTCAAGATCCACAAGTCAATTTGTACCAGAAATCCAAAGGTGGTGCAAAATGGATATCTCAAGATTGGCCTTTACTTCGCGCACCTGCTCTCCGCCGCCGCCGCTTACCTGCTGGCACGCCACCGCCCCGCGTCGCTAACTCAAGCCTCCCTGCTGCATCTTCGCACCCCTGCCACATGACTCGATCGCCGTCGCTGCTACCGCCCTCTCCGCCGCCCTCGAAGGCGCCACCAGCATTACGGCCGCCTTCATATCTCATTGATGCTGCCACCAACGCCACTTCCTCGATTCTGTGCCGCTGCAGCGGCGAGGCGCCGTCGCCACGATCGCCGCCAGCGCTGCTGACAGCCTCGGAGGGGAGCGTCGCCGTGGCCGCGTTCTGGTCTGCCCACGCTTCCCTAAAATGTCTAGGACGAGCTCAGAGGCTAAGGGCGCATCCTGTGGGACCATCTAGCTCTACTGGGTCCGCGACGGCGGTCGGCGCACCCCCGTCTCGAACTTGGCCTGTCCGAGGGTTTCCGGCAACCCAGAGGGAAACCAGAGGGTCCCCAGCACTTTGCGTTTCCGGAAGTTTCCAGGGAAACCAGAGGGTGTTTGGTGCTCCATTCTGTTTCTCTCGAGTTTCCCTCGGGAAACTCGCGAGTTTCCCTGAGTCTGAGAGCTGGTCTGGGGCAAAATCTGGGGCAAAATTGAGGAAATCGGCACGATACCCAGGTATTTTCCAGGTATACCGGGGTTTTCCAGGTATACCCGCAAAATACCCGGTATTTTGCCGATTTTGGCCCCAAAACAGCCTCAGACACGGCTCAGAGCCCCCCCAAAATGACGAATTCCACGGAGTTTCCCCGGGGTTTCCCGAGGAAACTAGAGGGTGTTGTAGGGAAACGAGCAGGAAACACGGAAAGGAAACCAGGTAGGGTGCGAGAGGAAACCCTCGGACAGGCCAATCTCGAACGTGTGTGCTCTCTGTCTGTCTGTCAGCTGTTTCGGCTAAGTCGTTTTGTACCGGATTTCAATGTTAGTGGCAAAACCGCGGAACCGAAAATGGCGTTTAATTTCGCGCACCTGCTGTCCGCCGCCTGCGGCGGCGCTCCGCGCCGCTTGGGGCGCCTGCGGCGCCCCTGGGCGCGCTGCGCGCGCCTGTTTTGGGGGGGCTACCAGCACCGAAAAAGTGCCGGATTTTTTGGCCAGCCTCATCCGGCGGCGCCGCGGCTGCGAACGGCCCCCGACTGCTCTGCAGACGAGTGCATGGACCTGCTCGAGCAGCACGCGCAGGCGCTCGCCAAGAGCGTGACCTCTCTGCTCGAGGGCGTCGCGACCGGAGCTCCGGCTCCCGCCGCTGCGCCGAACCTCGAGGACGCGCTGCTGGAGGGTGCCGACGCGCCGGCGCCTCGCGGCGCGATCGCGTGGGCGGAGGCGCGCGCGGGCGAGCAGCCCGGGGCGGTCGCCTCGACGCCCGCCGAGGCGCTGCTCCGCGCCGACCTCGAGGCCGTGCTGCGCCAGCGCTCGCAGCTGCGCGCCAAGCTGGTTGCCGAGACGGAGCGGCGCGAGGCGGCGGAGGCGGAGCTGGTCGCGCTCGGGGCGCAGTGGCTCGGCACCGAGACGCAGGCGGCGCTTCGCCGGCGGGCGGAGCAGCAGGACGAGCGACGGCTCAACGCGCACGCCGCAGCGCTGGCGCGAGAGGCGGAGCAGCGGGTCGCGCAGGCGCAAGCAGAGACCGCGGTGCTGCGGCAGCGGCTCGGCGAGGAGGCGCCGTCGCCGGTGCAGCTGCGGTCGCAGCTGCGGGCGGCGACGCGGGCAGAGGTCGAGATCGCGCAGCGAGAGGCGCGGGCGGAGGTGGCGGCGGAGCTGGAGGCCGCGCGGGCGAGGTGCGACGGCCTGGAGCGCGAGCTGTCGGAAGCGGAGGCGCGGCACCGCAGCGACACGGAGCTGCTTCGCCAAGCGCTACGCAAGGCGGACACGCTGCTGCAGGAGCAGTACGACACGGGCTTCGTCGCCGGTCTCAAACAGGCGGCGGAGGCGCTTGGCCACGGAGGCGGAGGCGGCGAGGCAGGCGGGCGAGGCGGCGGCGGCGTCGGAGGCGGCGGGGGAGGCGGCGGGGGAGGCGGCGGCGGCGTCGGAGGCGGCGGCAGCGGTGGGGCCGGCGCGGCGGGAAAGCAGAGGGGCGGGGGCGGCGGGGCAGAGGCTGCGGCGGGCGGACGGAACGGCGATTGCGATCCGGATGTGAGCGGCTGGGACGGGAGCGCGTCGGGCGAGGTGCGGTGGCCGTAGATGCGAGATTTCCTGAGATGTCCCAAGGTATGCTCTGAAGACGCCCGTCTGGGAGAGTAGGCGCAGTGGCAGGGCGCGGCCACCGAGCGGACGGGGCCTCTTCTCCCGCCGTGACCGGCCACCCCGTAGTTCTGTGTTCGGCATCAGGTATTTCTTTGTCTGTAGGCCTCCCCTTCAGCCGGGGCCGCGACAGCCGAAATGTTTCTTTTCTCTTGATTCGCGGTCTTTCTTCTGTAGGCCGCCCCTCCAGCCGGGGCCAGGCTGCGACGCGGTAGAGGTGCAGTCTGTGCAGCGGCCGCTGGAAGGGCTCACGCTGCGGGCGCCGCGGTCGGCCGCGGAACCGTTTCGCGATCAGTCGCCCGCAGCGGCGGCGGTGTGGCCGCCTCCGCCTGGCGACGAGCGGAGCACCGTGCCTCGTCTTGGGTGACGCCCTCTCTACAGAGACTTCGACAAAAGATTGTGACTGGAGAATGGGTATGGTGGATGCGCTCGCGGCTCGGCGTTGCTGCAGGTTGTGGCCCCGGGCGGGCGGGCGGTGGCGCAGGTTTTACACAGTGGGACACGAGATCCCAGCATCGGAGTACAGGTAAGGTAAGGTAAGGTAAACTTCTCCACACACACGAGGTTCGAGGTGGTGGGGCAAGGGGGGGCAACCCTCGCGTCTCCACGTCTAACGACAGGAGCCCCACGGCATTTAAAGTGCAAGGCCCGGTGCGCGTGGGTGAGCGGTGTGTGTGTGTGTGTGTGTGTGTGTGTGTGTGTGTGTGTGTGTGTGTGTGTGTGTGTGTGTGTGTGTGTGTGTGTGTGTGTCACGTCACTGCATCCTCTGCCGGTTCCTCCCGTCGCCTCTTCTTTGTTCGTATGTTTTTCAACCCATCCTTCACGAAGCCCTCCCATGTAGCTAGCGTTCTTTGCGAATGTCTCGAGATGGCCAGCAGGCGCTGTCTGCTCGCGGCCTGTGCGGGCCGCTCGTCCTCCTCGCCCTTCTTTCGTCCTCCCGTTCCTCCCCTCCACCATGGCCTGTAAGGCGTGTAGACTGCGGGGCGCCGCGATAGCGCGGCGCCGACGGTTGTGTCGCTCATTGTCACACCCACGACACGGTCACAGTGTGTGTGCAGTGCGTCCACTCCGGCGACCGTGACGCCGTCGGCGCTCGTCAAAAGCATCTACTGTGGAGCTCTAAGTGTGGTTGCGTGTTGTACTAGTGATGCTGCACTAGGCGGCCCGTTTTTAGCAAAAAGCAGATACCAGTTACCACATCGCGCGTGGTCATCGAAAAACCGCATGTGGCAGGGCGCCAGGGGAGGTCGGAGAAACCTCCCAGCGTACACGGGGCGCCCCGCCGTTCCTTCGTGCCCCCCCTCGGGACTCCGCCCGGCGGCGAGCCTCTGTCACTGGCCAATGGTCGATCGCAGAACGAGGTGACGTGCACCCGGCCATCGGCAAATACACACAGTGTACTACGTCGCCAAAGGGCCGGTCCCCGAGAACCCGCCGCCTCGTCGCCCGCCTCGTCGACCTGCCCACGGAGCTCCTCGTGCGCGCCCTCTCCCGCTGCGACCCCTCCGACATCGCTCGAGGCCTCCAAACTACCGCATCCAGACCTTTATCTCGCCAAACGCGAGCGTTTTCTTCTTGCCAGGGAGAATGACAGTCACGTAGCGGTGCCTGGTCGGGGAAGAGGAGGAGCACCGACCAGCGAAACAATGAGCGTAGTAGAGTGGGAGGAGAGAGAGCGCGTGAAGTCTAGCTCCAGTGTCCCGTCCAGTGCTCTGTGCTCCTGTGGAGGGGTCGACGTCGAGCACTGCGCTCGACGAGAGCCCCTCAGGTGCCTGCGCGCCAACCACCCCCCGGTGTTTTGACACCATTATTCGGTATATTAACCTCGCGGCCGCCTAGATAGACCGAAAGAGCTAGACACCGCAGGAGACGAGGCTGCGGCTGCTGCTGCGGCTGCTGCGGCGGCGGCTGCTGCTGCTGCTGCTGCTGCTGCTACTGCTACTGCTGCTGACAACGACGACGACAACACCAGATACGAATTCCCCACCTCGCCCCCGCCCGCCCGGCCCCCCCGTCCGCCCGCGTGCCCGCCCAGCCCCCCCCCCCCCCCCCCTCCCCCCCCGGAACGCCCACACCCAAAACTCCACACACATCGATGTGTAGGGAGGCGCTCGATATCTCCTCTCGCTGCCTACTCGCTGCCTCGGGGGAGGAGGGGAAGAAGTCGAGCGGGCGCCACTGCGCTCGCCGTCCCGAGGCCCCTCCCCGAAAGGCAAGTCTTAGCCACACGAAACCGAGACCCCTCCCCACCGCCCCGATCCCCCCACCCCCTTGCTCCCCTCCCCCCCCTCGGGAGGGCCGAACTGAGGCGCCCGTGGGGACCCCGCAATTCCCTTCCCCCCTCGGAGGGGGCCGGACGGAGGCGTACCCCGTGGGCCCCGCTCTTTCCCTCGCATAGCGGCCACTCTTCGGATCGCTGGTCGAGCGACCCGGGGGATGCCCCGCGCGCCTGACCCAGGCGCGAAAACGAATCTGCGAGGCGTGGCCGCACATGCGGCCCGATGGGGAGGAACGGGGCGAGCCCCCTCCAACCCACCCGCGCTAGGTCTCGGGTTTGACGCATGGGGTCACTCCCGCGAAACCCATGAACTAGCCGGGGCAGTCGGAGAAGGGGCAACTCCGTGCACTGACGGTCGGCCGTCAGAAAACACGCCTCCGTGGCTCGGGTTACACCAATCCTCGCTACCCAACGCGGCCAAAGGATATCCACCTCGAGAACGTTAGAACTCCCACCCATGTCAATGTTGCGAACCCAGCGGCTGTCGACGATTGCCCCGGCCACCCGAGGCTAGAGGCTCAGCCGCCATGGCTCCGGCCTCCAACTCTACGCTCGCGCTCGCCACCGGCGCCGGACTCGCAGCCAGCGCCGCGCTGGTGCGGCCGTGGGACGAGTGGCTGACGTCGCACCACGAGCACGACGAGGAGTTCGAGCGGGAGGACGGGCGAGGCACGCTGACGCTCGGCTCATGTCGGCCGACGACGCTGGGCCAGCTGGCGCGCGGCGCGGGCAGCTGCCTCGCCTTTCTCGCCGCCTGCGACGCGCTGATCGCTCGCCGCGCGCGCGACGACACGGCGCGCTACTTTGTGCTCCACACGCTCGCGAACTGGGTGATCACCGTGAGCAGCTCTGGAGAGATGGCGGCCGTGCTTGGCGACCCGGTCAACTCGTCGCTGGGCAAGTGCAACCTGCTGCCGACCTACATGATCCCTTGCCTCTTTGGCTACCACCTGTCGGTCTTCAAGAATGTGCCGGCCGAGGAGTGGCAGCACCACATCATCTTTGGGCTCGGCCTTGCCGGACCAGGCCGCCGCTGCTGTTAACTACTCTGATCACGCCCTTTCACTAGTCTCATTGAGACGTGCTCCTTTGGGCCTTGCCGGACCAGGCCTCCGATACTGCGTCGGGCCTGTCCAGAATGCAACCTCCTCCTTCACGTGCGGCCTGCTACTTCTTGATGACTAAGAGGGAGTAGTTCATCGTCAGGCAATATCCTTCTTCATGTGCGGGCTGCCCGGCGGCGTCGACTACGCGATGCTCGCCGCAGTCAAGGAGGGGCGGATGGCCTCCTCGAGCGCGAAGGTGTGAACAGCGCCTCTTCACAGCGGCGCCTACTGTGCATAGGAGGGGCTGATGGCCTCCTCGAGCGAGAAGGTGTGGAACGCACGGCTGCAGGTGTGTTGCCGGGCGAGTAGAGAACACGCCTGCTCTCCACAGCAGAAGCTTCGCCCGGCGGCTTCAGCATGTGCAGCGGAAAGCACGGTGGAAAAGTGAGGCGTGGCCTCTGCTCGTCAGGTGTGGTGCCGCGCGCCAGGCGTTTTGCTCTAAAGCCACGCGGTCGACCCTGATTAGTAAATGACAACAGCCAACACATTAACAGGCGTCTTGCTCTGAAGCTACGCGGCCGACCCTGGTTAGTAAATGACAACAGCCAACCAATTGTCAGGCATCCTGCTCTCGAGCTACGCGGTCTACTTGCTCTCTCAGTACTCCAAGGTGCGCACGCCGCACAAGCTGCTCCCGTACCTCCTCTTCCTCCTGGCTGCCTTCAACGGCCAGTACTACATGCAGAAGGTGGTCGCCAACACGGCCTTCAAGAATCACGGCCAGGGGGCGTGCTAGCGCACGAGAGCGGTTTCGCCGCGTCTCTAGCCGGAAAATACTTTTGCGGCAGGCCAGACGGTGTGGTCGAGCTTCCTCGCGCCCCGCGTGCGGTGTGTTAGGCGGCGCTCCGGTGGCGGTGTAGCCGCCGAGAGGGGGCGAGTGAAGCCCGACCTCCGTCACCGTCTAAAGGGTGTCTCGGATGCTGGGTTGACCGAAATCGGGGGGGACGCGACCCACGACGCCACAGACGGTCCCGCGCCTCGCCGCTAAGACGGGTATACGACCGCGGCTCGTGTGCGTGTACCCGTCTTTGTCCGGAGTGAATACTCCAACGCGCTCGTCGGTGACGGTGTCCCCCGATTTCGCCGCGCTCCGGCACCGTGACAAGAGACGCACGCCGGCGTCAAGCTGCTGTCTGTACGGCCCCGGCATCGCCTCCCCTGGCTTAGCTAGACTGAGAGTTATTGTGCACATGGTTAGTCTCTACAATATACTCACTGACACTCCCCCTCCCAGAGCTCGTCCCGGTCCGCCACGGCCATCCTCGGCCTCCGGAGGGCCCCCGGCCGCGGCGCGGTGCGGCGGCGTCACAAATCCGACCACAGAGCACCGGGACGCGGTCGGGCGATCTAAGGCCCAACTAGGCGTATGCATTGCCCATCCAGGGCTATCACCTGGACCCATCAACAGGCGCCTGCGGCGGAGCAGGAGGGCCCGGCGCACAACCCCCTGGTCAACTCACACCCTCCACACACCCCGTAAGCCTAGGCCAGCGGGTGCGCCTCCCATACCAGGCAGCTCGACAAGCGGCAACGGCGCGCGCGCTACGAGAGGCGGGGCTCCAAGGCCTCACCCTCCTCCCTCCCACACTCCCCGCACGTCTGGCCTCGCAGGCGCATGCCCTGGCAAGCGCTGCCGCTGCCGCCGCCGACGCGCGCAATCGAGGTGAGCGGGCGCATGTGCTCAGCCGAGCTGAAAGTGGTGACGCTGGAGGTCGGCGAGACTCCGCCACGATGCTCCGTCATGTGAGCCGAGTCGTGTTCAAGCATGAGGTGTGCGGACAAATCTCTCTTTGTTACAAGTACCGCCAACACAAGTGGCGCGAACAGCTTCAGCTTTTCTCGCCCGCTCTGCTGAGGGCGAGGCGCCGAGCTACGGTTCCAACGCTGCAGCACTCTCCCTCTATTCACAGCAGAGATGGCGACGCGTCCTTACGCGCGTCCTCGTCCCCACCTGCTTTGCTTCAACGTGCTGCCATGGAGCCAGCGCGCCTCGCGCCATGATTCAATCGCCATGGCCGGAGCGCTGTGGATCGCAAAGGCCCATGGGCCGCTGCGCAGGGCGGCACGCGCAGGCGCTACACAGATCAGAGCATTGGCGCCGAGAGCATTCATTTCCGCATTCAGTTGTCGTTGTTCTGTCGGCTCGAACAGCCCGTACAGCCATTCAGCGGCTGGTGGACGGCGCGCAGTCTCCACGCGGATCCGCATCTCGTGCACACCGCAAGGCGCCGCCACCACATGGACCAGCCCGATGGACTGTGTTTGTGGTCGGGGTGGACAGTTTGCTGTTCAGCGTATCATTGAGCAGGATGAGATGAGCGTCTAGTGGTGAGGTAACGGGCGAGGTCCTGGGTGCAGAACCCGCCCTGACTCTGCCGATCCACTGGATGCGACTCAACTGCTGATACCGAACTTGTGCTGGCGGGCAGTGATTTGTGAGCGTATCGTTCAAGATTGGGGTCAGCCCACCCAACGGATGGCCGTTCGGTCGTACGACATTCGACTCGACTGTGGACTCACTCCGTGCCAGTCGTCAGCCGCCAGTTCAACGCTCGCAATGCGGTATGAACGCGGTGTCCGCGGCGGTGAGCTGCGCAGTTGGTCATTGTTCTTCGTTGCAGAGTCTTTTCTCGCATTGCGACCCACCAAGGCCCATCGACGGCCAGCGCCCAAGGTCTGATTGTGCCCCCGGCTGTGCGTCAGCAGCGGCTTCAGACAGGGCCTGCGCTTGAAGGGGATTTTACATTTACGGGCTCTGCCAGCAATGCGTGGAAGGCGACGCGACGGTTGAAGGGTACTGTCCAGAAGGGCACTGTCGCTCCGGGTCGGGCGACGGTGCCGCAGTGTCGCTCCGGGTCGGGCGACACTGCTCGCGGCGTCCGGGTCCTGCGCCTCCCGACGAGGTCGGACGGCGTGGTATTCCGGCCGCCGCGCCTCGGTGACTGGCTGCCGTAGAAACCAGAAGTACGAGGGCGTTGTCCACCCTAAGATGGACGGAACTCGGAGGGCGTTGTCCACCCTAAGATGGAAGGAATTCGGAGGGCGTTGTCCACCCTAAGATGGACGGAATTCGGAGGGCGCTGTCAGGGTCCCCCTCGGGGAGCGACGGCGCCCGACCGTCAGGGTCCCTACGGGGAGCGACGGCTGAAGCGCAAGGGTACTGTCAGGGTCCCTTCAGGGAGCGACGGTGCCCTAATGTCAGGGTCCCCTCTGGGGAGCGACGGTTCGAAGGGCGCTGTCAGGGTCCCCCTCGGGGAGCGACGGCGCCCGACCGTCAGGGTCCCTACGGGGAGCGACGGCTGAAGCGCAAGGGTACTGTCCGGGTCCCCTCGGGGAGCGACGGTGCCCTACTGTCAGGGTCCCCCTCGGGGAGCGACGGTTCGAAGGGTACTGTCAGGGTCCCTTCAGGGAGCGGCGGTGCCGTACTGTCAGGGTCCCTCCGGGGAGCGACGGTTCGAAGGGTACTGTCAGGGTCCCCGCAGGGAGCGATCGTACCGCAGCTGCGGCTAAAGGCCTGCGCTGCCCGCGGCATTCGAATGCGGCGCCTCCCGACTGAGTCGGCTCGCGTCGTATTCCAGCCAGAAGGGCGCTGAGACGAGATCGCGATCTCGGTCATCACGCCATCTAGACTTTAGCGAGGCGTGTGGCGCGCCGGCAGCGCCGCCGCCGTCTAAGGTACTGTCAGGGTCCCTTCGGGGAGCGACGGTGCTGCTGAGCGTCTGCTTGAACTGCTGTCGTCCCGCCAGAGTATATCTCGACTAGCTCTTCATCGAGAAGAGCGTCGACTCGTGCGCCGCCTCGTCGGCGGCGTGGCGGGCGGGCAGCTGGATGTGCTGTCGCCTCGCCATAGGATACCTCGACTAGCTCTCGATCGGCTAGAGCGTCGACTCGTGCGCCGCCTCGTCGGCGGCGTGGCGCACACCCTGAGTCGGCGTACACATAACTCAGGGCCACATCCTCCCTGTCGCCCCCCCCAGCACTCCACGGTGCCAAGGGCACAAACAAGGGCACAACTCAAACAACAGACGACAAGAAGTGACATGTGAGGCTAGAGCACCTCGTCAGTAACCGCACATCCAGTGGTTTTTCTCTTTCTCGTGGGCGGGTGCACGGAGCTAAGTGCCTCGCCACCCTCGCAGGAGTCGCTTAGGCGGCTCCCGTGGTGTACCTGTGTTAGTGCCAGTGCGAGCCAGTCCCGTGCCCAGTCCTGTGCCCAGTGTTGTGCGAGGGAGTTTTGTTGTAAAATTCTCTTTCTCACTCCAGCTCCTTCGGCCTCTGGCTCCTCTGGCCCAGCATCCATGCTCGCTCTTGTCAGCTGCTCTGCCACCGCGCTCGTGCTTTCGCCGGCGCGCCGCGCTGGCAACCTGCAGATGCTCGCCGTCGAGGAGTTTGCAATCTCAAAGGAGATCAAGTCGGTCCGCGTCTTTGACGGTGCCCTACCGCAGCCTGGCCGTCCTTCCTTACGCCGCAGTCAGCCGTCACCGCCCGTCTCTCTCGAGCCAGGCGAATACGCCGACGACATCTGCGACGAGGTTGCCGCCGCGGCGCGCGCCTGCATCGCGGAGAAGGGCTCGTTCTCACTCTGCATCCCGGGAGGCTCGGTGGTGGCCGCTCTCGCACAGATGCCGGCGGACGCGTTCGACGCGAGCAAGGTGCACCTCTTCTTCGCGAACGAGAAGATCCCCTCCTACCCGTGCAAGGAGGGCGGCCTCGACGCGGCCAAGAAGCTAGGTGTGTGCCCGGACGTGTGGCGGAGATTCCCCGAGAGTTACTTGAGATTCTCCGAGATTACCCGAGATTACCGGAGATTACCCGAGCTGGGAGTGTGTCCGCCCGCCGCCCGTGGTGAGACGGTACCCACTGACGGCCTGGCTCTTACCTACAGGCGTGCCCGAGGCGAACGTGCACGCCTTTGGTGAGGGCGAGCCGGCCGCTGTCGCAGAGAGCTACTCTTCCCTGCTCGCCTCGCACGCCTCGATCGACAACAGCGGTGAGTCGGTTAGAGAGGGGAAGAGACTGCCTGGCCAGTGACTTGTTGGCCAGTCAGTGGAGAGTGGAGACAGTCTGGCCAGCGACTGGACACACCAGGTGGGGCGAGGGTGGGCACACCAGGGGATAGACTAAGCGAGACGGGGAGAGACGGCCTCACCGGAGCAACACACAGGCCACAGACACACAGGCTAGACACCCAGCGGCGCCGTCCCGTCGCTCGACATGCTGCTGCTGTTGCGAGCGGCGCCTCTTCACACCCCTCGCTGTGAACAGGCGCCGTCCCCTCGGTCGACATGCTGCTGCTAGGCACGGGTCCGGGGAATCTCGGGCAATCTCGGGTAATCTCGGGTAATCTCGGTCGACATGCTGCTGGTAGGCACGGGTCCGGACGGGCACGTCGGCTGCCTCTTCCCGGACTCTGCCGAGATCAAGGCGAGCCGCGCCGGCAAGGTGGCGCTCGCCCGATTGCGGTCAGTAGTCTCATTACCCTAATCATCATCAAATCTGGTTGCTGTTCTCACTGTGCTTATGATTATCATCGTTACTATTGCCTTCACCGGCATCACCTCCATCATTGTTGTTGTTTGCTCCCCGACATTCGTCGCTACAGGTTGTGCTCGCGGGCAACGACGCGCGCGCGGACGGCGATTTCGTCGCGATTTCGCTCGACGTGATGAACGCGGCAAAGTGCGTCATCGTGTCGGCCGCCGGGGCGGGCCGCGCCGAGATGGTGGCGAAGGCGCTCGCGGGCAACTTTGGCCCGTTCGACTGCCCCGCCGGCTTGGTCGAGGCCGAGGAGGAGACGCTCTGGTTCACGGACAAGGAGTCGATCGCGGTGTCTGACGCCCTCACGTGTGCGAGGAGGGGCGATCTCGAGCAATCTCGGGTGATCTCGTGCAATCTCGTCAGGTGTTTGACGAGTTTGCGGACATCGAGGACGAGGACGAGCTCGAGGAGGAGTGAGCCGGCGCGAGGCGCTGTCCCGAGGCGGGGCGGCGGGGAGCGGTGCGGCTGCGGGGCCGTCCGCTGTCCGGTCCCTGCTCCTCCGCCCCCGTCTGTTTCTTGGAGCACAGCACTTGGACACTGCAACTTTTTTTCTTTTTTTCAGAGCGCCCCCCCACTCGCCAGTTTACCAGTTGGGCACGGCCGATGGCTTCCAACGCCCCGTCGACAGTGTGGGAGGAGGCGCGGCACACCCTCACGAGATCTAAAAAAGAGATCTAAAAAAACGCACGCTATGTTGAAGCAAAGTCATCGTCGCCACTCGCCAAGGCCTGGCGCGCTCTCTTCCGCTGCTCCGCCTTTCCCGCTCCTCCTCCTCCACCCTCCGCCCTCCCGTCGGCCCTGCCGCCCGGCGCATGTCGAGGCTCCGCGCACACCTCGCACTTTGACCGCTGCGCGCGGTTCACAAAGGTGCAGGCGCGGCACGACCATGCGGCGCCAACGACGAGAGGCCGGGTCGCGCCGCAGGCAGAGCAGCTGGCGTTGGCCTGCCCGTTGACCAGCGTGCAGGAGCGACATGTCCACACGGCCGCCGCCGTCGCTGCCGTCGCCGGCGGGTCCGAGAGCCGTTGTTGCGCCGGTGGCGGTGGAGCACGCAGCAGCTTGTGCGCGGCGTCACGGAGCTCTTTGGACGCAAGCGGGCACTCGAGCACGGCGCGGCAGCGGGCTGCGATGGCAGGGTGCTGTGCCATATACACACCCAATGTACTGCGCTGGATTTGGGGCAAAGTGGGGTAGGGTACCAAGCTGATTTTTCCCCACGCTGGTAAATCGGGCTTGTAGGTATATTGTTGGCAAATCAAGGCACAGAGCTCACACAGAATCACAGCGGGAGGAAAGCGGCGAGTCGCAATTCCAGGGGTCGTTGTGGCGGGCCACCCTGTCCAGAGAGGCATGGATGCCAACCTGGGGTCTCTCGACCGAGTCTATGAAGCCCTGGCCGCCTCCCGGTGGTGGTGAAGGTTGAATAACCAAGCGACGGAGATGGTGCGGGGGTACGGGTGTTCCAGGGGGTCACGACACGCACCGACCCTTGGGGGGTCCGAATAAGATACATCATAAACGATGTCATGAATGACAACGATGCGGCCTCGGTCTCTGACGGGATAGTGTGAACGCGCCGCCATCCACGACTAATTCAAGTCACGACTCATTGTACGAATCCATGGTACATAAAGGAGTGAACATCAGAGTTAGTAGTGCGCACTTCCCGTTGCGCCTCCTTCCTGGACCGCCGCTGCACGGGGCTAGGCACCAGAAGATGAGTGGAATTGATGAATTGGGCCGGTGTCCGTGCCTCCCCTCTATACGTCAGAGTGGGACCTACGCCGCGCCGGGTAAGGGGCGCGCCCGGTCCTCGACGGAGCCGCGCGCCCCGAACGACCCAGGCGGCGAGTAGTCGTCCTCGAACCTTCGACATGTAGTTGCCCATAGTTAGCGCCCGCCCGCCCCCCCCCTCCGTCGCTTCGCAAAAGAAAAAACAAAATAAAAACAAGCAAAAGACAAAAGAGAAAGCGAAGCCAAAAACGATTGCGTAAACGGCGTCACAAAGCCCGCCGGTTTTGATCGACAATCGTGAGATTGACCGCCGTCGACCAGAGAATGGCAGACGATGCGTCAGCTTGTGCGGCGCTCGCGCCGCGCAGGCTGGCCCATCGAGGGCACTCTCTGGCGCTGTCCGGGCCAAGCGCGGCGCCGCGCATGCTGCGTGCCACTCGCCGTGGCTTGCGGTGCAGCGCCACTGCAGCCTCGAAAACGTCGCGCACAGCACCAGCATGCTGCCCACCAGGCAGCAGAGTGCTGCACCGGCGTGCAGCGGACGCTGCGGCGCTGCGGCACCGCCTCCCCGCCCTGTCCACGGAGCAGGCGAGCGGCGGCACGGCCTTCCACCAGCTGCAGGAGGTGCGCACTTCCCGGTGGAAGCACAGGATGCTCCCTCCGCATACGCAGCTTTGCGCAGCGCAGCGTACGGGCCACGCCACGCAAAGCCGACCCTCAGTCTGCCCAAGAGGCTGTCTGCGGAAGGCCTGGCAGCGTGTACTCGCCTCCTCCGCGGCCATGCCCTCCGCCCGGGCGAGCGAGGAGCGGGGACACAACCATTTCTGGAATCGTGTGTCCCCGCAGGAAGATTTTTTTATTTTTTTGCAGACCGATTCACGTGCCCGCTCGCTCGCTCGCTGGCGCTGCTCACGCGCTCGCTCACGAGCGAACACAAGCGCACGCACGCTCGCGATGGGCAAAAAGCGGCCGGCTCCTGAGCCGGAGCTCACTGGCTGCGTCCACGACGGCGAGCTGTACCTGCACGACGGCGAGCGCGTGTACAGCAGCGAGCGTGACTGGCAAGGCAGCCTCGTGCAGGTGGGCACCCTCGGCGCGAACGGCGCTGTCGAGCTCCTTGTCGCCACCCGCAAGCCTCCTGTTCCTCCACCTCCGCCGCCTCGTCCTCGTGATCATCCGCCGCCTCCGCCGCCTGCTCCTCCGCCGCCGCCTGCTCTCCCGCCGCCGCCGCCTCCGCCAGGAGGTCCGGCTGCCGCCGCCTGCACCTGCCGCGCCCTCGAGTGGGGTCGCAAGTGCTCGTGCGGCGCTGCGCTCGGACTCGGCCCGCTCGGCGGCGGCGGTGCCGGGCCGGGACCCTCCACGCTCTCGCGCGAGCAGCAGCTGCAGCGCGTCCGCCAGCTGACGGGCGACATCTCAGAGCACGGCCAGTCGACGCGCGGGCGAGTGATTGAGCAAGGAAGGAGTCGATGACTAGGCGACATCTCAGAGCATGGCAGGCTAAAGCAGCTCGACCGGGCCGTCGGCGCGTTTGAGCAGATCTTTGCGGAGGGCTTGCACCCGACCGGATACGCCTACTCGACGCTGCTCAACGCGCACGTGCTCGCCGGCGATCTCGCCGGCGGCGCGCGCGTGTTCGAGGCGATGATGGCGTCGAAGTGCCGGCCGAATTTGGTCGTGTACACCACCATGCTCAAGGGCTTCTGCGCCGCGGGTGACATGACCGCCGCCGTCCACTTAATTAATTCAGTGGTCTCATTCGTCAGCTGATCATTAACTCATCAGGTGACATGACCGCCGCCGTCCACCTCCTGCGTCGGATGGCCCACGGCTCGCCCCCGCTGATGGCGGACATCCGCGCGCTCAACACCTTTCTGCGCGGATGCGTGCGGTGCGGCGACGCTGTCGCTGCGCGCTGGGCATTCGCTCTGGCGGGCTCTGCTTGGCGCGTCCTAATCACTTAATGACTCCTTAATTGGCATTAATCAGGCATTCGAGATGGCGGGCTCTGCATGGCGCGTCGTGCCGGACGGAGTGGCGCACGTGGCGTTGGCTCGCCTCTTGTCTCAGTCCCTCGCGCTCAAGGAGCTGCGAGCGCACGTCGAGGCGCGCCGCGAGGAGCGTAAGGAGCGACTGAAGGCGGTCGCTGCCGCGCGGTCAGCGAGTCCGCCGCCCCCGCCGGCGGACGCACCGCTCGCTTGCTCCTTTTGGGCGGCGGGGCGGTGCGAGCGCGGCGCGAACTGCCGCTTCTACCACGATTTGTCCGTCGTGCAGTTGGACGAGGCGGCGGAGGAGGCGGATGCCACCGACGCGCAGGCGGCGATGGAGCTCCACGTGTCGCACACGAATGCATTGACTAGTCAGTACTGGATTGGCCTCACTAGGCGGCGATGGAGCTCCACCTGTCGCACGCCGGCGCGCTGCTGGGCAAGGACGCGCTGGCACGCGACGCATTGCGACAGGCGCGCCAGCTGCTCCCGAGACTTTTGAGTTAGTAAGTTGCCCATTGATCAGCATTAATTGGCATTGCGACAGGCGCGCCGGTTGCTCGCCGAGTCGAGTGCGCGCGGCGGAGGAGAGGCGGGCGGCGGCGAGGCGGGCGGCGGGTGGGCTGGCGGCGGCGGCGGGGAGTGGGGCGGCGAGGAGCGGGCGGAGGCCAAGGCATTCCGGCGCGTGGAGCTGCAGCCCTCGATGATTACATTAGTTAACTAATCAATTGACTCACTAATTGAGGTGTTTCGGCGCGCGGAGCTGCAGCGCGAGGCGCAGAGGCTAAGCCGCTCGCTCGGCGCAGTGGCGGCACAGCAGCTCGTTGCGCCGCTGCGCCGGACGCTGCTGTTCGGCCGCTCGCCCCTCGTGCCTCCGGAGGCGGAGATGTAGCCGAGATATCGCCGAGATATCGCCGAGGTGTAGCCGAGCCGAGGTCTAGCCGAGGTCTAGCCGAGGTCTAGCCGAGGCTAGCCGAGTCTAGCCGAGATCCCGCCGAGATCTAGCCGAGGTCTAGCCGAGATCCCGCCAAGATCTAGCCGAGATCTCGCCGAGATGTAGCAGATCCAGCCGAGCCAAGACCGGCGATGGCTTTCTTTTTTAGGCCCTCTCGCTCGCCCACCCGTCCGAGATGGATCACTTGCTGCAGCCAGACCCCCGCGGGCCTGCTCCACCTCCTCCTCCTCCTCCGCCTCCTCCTCCGCCGCCGCCGCCCGCCGCCGCCGCCACTACCGGCACCGCCGCCGGTGCACCGCCTCCGCCGCCGCCGCCGCCGCCGCCGGCCGCTGAGTTGCCGCCGCTCTCGAGGAAGATGCTCGTGCGGCGCCTCGGCTCGCTGCGGCGCACACCACCTTGGCTGATCGTTACTCACTTCGTAGCTAATTGTTGAAGGCACCTCGTCGGCTCGCTGCGGCGCACTCCACCGCCGCTACGTAGGAATGATTTGTTGATTACTTCTTCAAGGCACCTCGTCGGCTCGCTAAAGCGCACCCTCGGCCTGCGACCCGCGCTGCGACGGGGCGGCGGCGCGACGGGGCTGTCGCCGGCGGGCAAGCGGTCCGCACGCAAGTCGGCCCAAGGGGTGGGAGTGAAGGCCGACTTAATTACTTCGGAGGGGGCGAGTCCTCAGGTCTGCGCGCAAGGCGGCCTCGCGCCGCTTCCGGAAGGGCGCGGCCGCAAGCTTCACATGCCTCCCCCTCTCTCCCCCCGTCTCTCCCCATCTCTCCCCATCTCTCCCGCACAGGCCTGGCCGCCAGCTTCACGCGGGACGGCCGCATCCGGTGGCAGAGGCTCTTTGCGGTAGAAGCGGAATGCTAGCGTGGCTTGTCCCCCAAACAGCGGTCGAGAGGACGCGTAATGCGCTGTATTCCGCCACACTCCTCGCCCTCCCGCCCTGATGCCCGGGTCATCAGCGCGTAGGCTCTTTGCGCCTTCCGTCGCCGACGGCGCCGACAGCGCGCCGCCTCCGCCGCCGGTACTGCCCGTGAAGCTCGAGCTGGCCTCGGGCACCGGCGACTGGGTGGCTGCCCAGGCGGCGGCTAACTAATTCTAATAATAGCTGATTGTTAGCTAATAATCATGCGACTGGGTGGCTGCCCAGGCGGCGGCGGACGCGGGCGCGGCGAACTGGGTGGCGTGCGCTGAAGCACAAGCGCGCGATGAATACGTACTCAACCATGAAGCTACGAACGGCGTTTAGGTGGCGTGCGAGCTGAAGCACGACCGCGTCGCCTCCCTCCTCTCCCGCGTGGCTCTGGGGCGGGTCGACAACTTGGCGGTGGTTGGAGGAGACGGTGTCGCGCTGCTGCGAGACCGGGTGTCGCCAGAGTTCTGAAAACACAAGCCTCTCTCCCAGCACACTGGCACGACAAGGGCGCGGACTGGCGCGGACTGGCACACACACCGGCACACCACCGGAGCCGCCTAAGCGACTCCGTTAAGCACGGCGATGCACTGCTGCTCCGTGCAGGTGCCGCCAGAGTTGATTGATTAATTAATTAATTCGTTAGTTAATTAACCGGTGCAGGTGTCGCCAGAGTCGGTGGCGCACATCTTCGTCAACTTCCCCGAGCCGCCGCACCGGTGGGGCACCGAGGCGGAGATAGAGCCGAGAGATGGCCGAGAGATGGCCGAGAGATGGTCGAGACATAGCCGAGAGAGATACCGCCGAGATTCCTCCTGGTCATAACCCACAAGGAACCGCTCTCGCTCCTGACTAGTCACTCCTCTCTAATCATGACTCTCAGGACTCACTCTCGCACCTGACTAGTCACCTCCCCTCTAACCATGCCTCTCAGGACTCGCTCTCCCACCTCACCGGCTCGCTGCTCACCCCGCCACTCTTCGACGCCGCGCACCGCGCGCTGCGTCCCTCCGGCCGCCTTACCATCTTCTCCGACAACCACCGCTACTGCTGCAGCCTCGCGCGGCTGCTCGGCGAGATGCGGAGAGGCGCCGCCGCCGCCGGCGCCGCAGGCCGCTGCTTCGCGTCCGTGCCGCTCGAGGGCCGCTCGTGCGAGCGGGTCGACGGCACCCGCGTCTTCCGCGGCGTCTCCTGACTGCTCATTAGCACGCAGTGAAGTGTCGACTACTTGTTAATTAGGCATCCGCATCTTCCACGGCGTCGTCCCTCGACTGTTGATTAGCAAGCATTAATGTGTGGACTACTTGGCAACTAGGCATCCGCATCTTCCACGGCAGCCCCGGCGCGGAGGGCGGCTTCCTCGTCGACGAGCAGTCCTACTTCGACCGCTTCTGGGAGCACGGCCAGCACGCGGACCGCTTCTTCCTGCTGCTGGAGAAGGCGTAGCGTGTGGTACTACACACCAGCGAAGCCCGAAAAGGCTGTGGAGACTGAAGCGCGGCCACGCTTTTGGTGAGGGTGAGAGGAGACCCGTGTGGATGAGGAGACCCGGGGGCGTGCGCGCGTAGATGCTAGATCCCGGATACCCCCTCCGACTAAAATACGGGCGTCGGGCGGTGTCAACATGACCAGTGGTACTGTAAAAAGGTAATTCAGAGAGTTCTCTACGGTGTACAGCACCACACGACAAGGTGTAGGTGAGGAGGTCGTGCTAAAGCCGTACTGTGTGCTAGCTGGTGGGTGATGGGGCGACGCGTGCTGCGCCTCGTGGGGGGCAAGAGGCAAGGGCGCACGGCGGGGGAGCGCGACCCTCACGACTCCAGTCTCGGGACCTCGAGCCGTAGGCTAGTTCCATTTCACTGTGGCACAGCTCGCGTTACAAAACCTTGATTTTGACCATTAGCGTGTTTCAGAGTGAAATGGAACTAGCCGTACGTCTACGACTACGTCAGCAAACATCTAGAAACAGCGTTATAAATTTGACCGGTAAAAAGAGACCCGGGACGGGCGGTGAGGGGACGGTCACACAAGAGGGGACGGTCTGTCTTTGCCCACGCCCGCCCACGCGTATCGCTACATGTATCGGGCATCGCTTCACGTTCGGCTGCATGCCGGCCCGCCTGAACTTGGGGCCAAGATTAGGGGTTTACTCACCTGCCTGCATACAATGCTGCGGGTCGCGCAGCATCATCAAGGGACCGTCCAGCCTCCGAAGAACGACTTCTTGCCGTACCCCAGGTCCTTCATAGCCGCGAGGTTCGTGCTGTTGCAGGAGAGGTTCCGCAGCGTCCCCGCGGCCAGCTCCTTCTGCCTCTCCGTGCCGCCGCGAGCCAGCGCCACCAGCGGTGGGATGCCGCCCGCCCTCGCGATCGCCACCTGGTTGTCGGCGTTGCAAGCGAGGTTCTGCAGCGTCCCCGCGGCCAGCTCCTTCTGCCTCTCCGTGCCGCCGCGAGCCAGCGCCACCAGCGGCGCGATGCCGCCCGCCCTCGCGATCGCCACCTTGCTGTCGGCGTTGAGAGCGAGGTTCTGCAGCGCCCCCGCGGCCTGCTCCTTCTGCCGGTCCGAGCCGTCGCGAGCCAGCGCCACCAGCGGCGCGATGCCGCCCGCCCTCGCAATCGCCACCTGGTTGTCGGCGTTGAGAGCGAGGTTCCTCAGCGCCACCGCGGCATACTCCTTCTGCCCGTCCGAGCCGTCGCGAGCCAGCGCCACCAGCGGTGCGATGCCGCCCGCCTTCGCGATCGCCACCTGGTTGTCGGCGTTGTTGCAAGCGAGGTTCCGCAGCGCCGCCGCGACCGCCTCCTTCTGCCCGTCCGAGCCGTCGCGAGCCAGCGCCACCAGCGGCGCGATGCCGCCCGCCTTCGCGATCGCCACCTTGTTGTCGGCGTTGACAGCGAGGTTCCCCAGCGCCCCCGCGGCATACTCCTTCTGCCCGTCCGAGCCGTCGCGAGCCAGCGCCACCAGCGGCGCGATGCCGCCCGCCCTCGCAATCGCCACCTGGTTGTCGGCGTTGACAGCGAGGTTCTGCAGCGCCGCCGCGGCATACTCCTTCTGCCCGTCCGTGCCGCCGCGAGCCAGCGCCACCAGCGGCGCGATGCCGCCCGCCTTTGCGATCGCCACCCTGTCGTTGGCGTTGCGAGCGAGTTTCGCCAGCGCCGCCGCGGCCTGCTCCTTCCGCTTGTCCCCTCCGCCGCTCAGCTGCAGCACCAGCTCCGGCACGTCGGACATGCTTAGGCTGTCCTCTGCCAACGCTGCCGCTGCCCGCTTCATCATTGCCGGGACGACACTACTCGAGATCGCCCGCGCGTGCTCCTCCTTCGCCGCCCGCGCCGCCGCCACCACGCTCGCCGCCTGCCGCGCCGCCACCTTCAGCCGGTTCTTCTCGCCGGCCTTGGCGTCGTTCTCCGTCTCCCACGCGGTCAGCTCCGCCTCTGCGCGCGCAGCTGCCGCCTCGCTCGCCGCAAGTTCATCCTCTAGCGACCGCGAGATGTCTCCAAACGCGCCCTGCACCGTCGCGTCGAGCGCCTTGATTTTCGGCAGCTGCAAGTCCTTGTCGCCCAGGTTAGTCACGATCACGTCGGGCTTTTCGAGGAAGGCGTGCGCCTGCTCCGGCGTCTTTTTCGCCCACTGGTCGACGAGCAGCTTCGTAAACGACTCGGCCTGCGCAGCGGCGTTCTGGATGCAAACAATGTGGTGCCGCGCGTTCTCGGTGCCCACCGCCGACTTCAGGCCGGAGGGGGTGGCAAACTGCATGGACAGCCACGACTCAAACTGAGTCCAGAAGCGGGACACGTACGACATGTCGAGGAGGATCAGGACGGTGGTGCCGAGGAAAAGCCGGTTCACCTCCTTGAGCATCCTCTTGAAGTCGGCCGCGTCCTCCGCGCTGCGCGAGCCCTTGGGGAGGTCCTGCGGCATGCACGCAGAGTCCATCCAGACGCGCTCAATATTCTTGCCGGCGGGCGAGTTGAGGAAGCCTTTGAGCGCCTTGAGCTGCTCCCCGTCGGGGTCCGGGTCGTCCGGCCGCATCCAGCGGTGTGAGACCGCCAAGGTCGTCTCAATGTGGGTGCCCTTCACCACGTCGGCGTAGTCGAGCGCCACTTCGACGAGCGGCTCTTCGGTGGTGTAGTCGTCGCGAATCTCCTGGAAGAACGGCAGGCTCTTGCCCGGGAATTTGCGCACAAAAGCAGCGTCCAGCATGAAGAAGGTGCATGCGCGGCAGCCGCCATCGTCGTCAGCCATGGAGTCAGCCATGCTCAATTGAGCACACTTGACGCGAGTCGCCATCGTATCCCGCCTCCTTTGCCGCACACCTTGGAATTGGGTTTGTGTGTACTTGTTACGTGAAAACCCGCTGGGACCCGGACGCCAGCACACACGGCTAGATTGTGTGCGTTGGCTATGCGGGACTCGATTTTCCATCTCTTTCCCTTGTTTGTTCTCTTGGCACCTGGGAGTGCTGGGGGGGGGCGACAGGGAGAATGTGGCCCTGAGTTATGTGTACGCCAACTCAGGGTGTGTGGCAGCCAGCTGGCTGTGTGTCTTGTGAGCCTGTTTGTGTCTGTGTGTCGCTCGTGCGTGTCGTCATCATCTGTCCCGCGTCCACCCATACCGCGTTGGTGTCCAGTCCGAGCCTGACTGTTGTTCATCTTTCTACATACATACATTTCCCGACAACTTCTGCCAGTCCGTGCCACCGCGAGCCAGCGCCACCAGCGGCGCGATGCCGCCCGCCCTCGCGTGGATCGCCACCTTGTTGTCGGCGTTGTCAGCCGTCAGCGCCAGTCGAGTCAGTGACAGTGTCAGCGAGCGTGCAGAGGACTCCCCAGCGGCAGCGCCACGTCTGAACGCTGAAGACGGAGAGAGCGCCGCGCGGAGGTCGGAGCGACAGCGGGGCGCGGGGTGCATATGGAGTAACACAACGCGCTCGCATCCCACGCAGCCTCTACCGCTCGCGGTCACAGGACCGCCTCCACCTCGAGCAGCGACACGTTCTCCCCGGCCGACCCGCTCGCCGCCTCCGCTGCGGCGCCGGGCACCGCCGTCACGCGCAGGCCGCTCGCTGCGGCGACGGCGCAAAAGTGGTCAAGGTGGTGGTCGCCGGGCGTGCGGCCGCCGCGGAAGAGCAGGCCTCTCCGCTGGTGCGCCAGCACCGCGCGAGCGAGCGGCCGGGCGGCGAGGAGCGCGGCGATGGTGTCGCAGAGAGGCCTGTGGTCGTCGACAAAGTAGGTGAGGTCGGACCCCAGCACGAGACCTCCCGCCGGCTCAGCCTCCGACGCGGCGTTCCACGCTGCATGTGATGAGTCCGGCGTGCTGCATTCGCTGAGTCCATCACACGCCGCAACGACGGCGTCCTTCTCCCCCTTGCCTCGGAAATCACCGCGTGTGGGCACGCCCAATCCATGTTCTCTGACGGTTCTTCTAATTTCTCCGACTGTCGCACCAGCGGCAGGTGGATCCGCAGCCTGCGGCCACGCAGCGGCGGCATCGTTGCCTTCGCCCCACCGAAGCGCCGACACCGACACGACCGCGCTGTGGTGCGGCGCGTTGCGGGTGGCGTTGGCGCGCAGCAAGTCCATCACCTAACCATTAACTCATACTCCGTCCATTCATCGCATCGGCGTTGGCGCATCAGCAAACAAGTCCATGGCCACCTCCGCAGATCCATCGGTGAGGGCAACCCTGCTCGCGCCCAGCGCCGCTGCGTACAGGCCGACCGCGCCGGTGCCAGACCCGAGCTCCACGACGGGCAGCCCAAGCAGCGCCGGGCGTGAGAGCCGGAGCCAGCGGCACAGAGCGGCCGCGGCGGGCCACACCCGTCCACCGAGCACCGGCGCTCGCGCTGCAGCTAGCGAGCCTGGCGGCGGACACTCGCGCACGTCGAGGACGGCGCCGCTCGGCAGCGGCGGCAGCGTCACCGGCGCAAAGCCGAGCGCGCCGCCAGAGTGCGTGAAGAAGGGCCTCGCGGCGTTGCGCATGCGTGGCGACGGTCCCGCACGCGAGGCGGTGGGCCTTTAGAGGCTGCAGCGTCTCGGCGTCGCGCGCCTGCCGCTGTGAGGAAATAAAGAATTCGAGCGCGAGAAACATACTCGCATCTCAAAAGCGAGGAGACTTACCCCTCACGACACCGATGATTTCAAATATCCATTAAGACAATACAAGAATACAATAAGGCATTAACCGAGGAGGATGCACTAACCGAGGAGACCTACGCACTATACACGCTTTCCCTACATTCTACCACAACGCACGTAACTACTTTCTGTGCAGGCCGGATGTACACAGGCTGCGCTGCCTGTGGCAGCCGTAAGCACCACACTACTCGAGGCTATCTATACCTGAAGGTGCTTACATGCCTTGGAGAAGTAGACGTCGCTATGTGCGCCGTAAGCAGGACGGGCGCGCGCGCGTGCTATGTGAGGACCTCCCATTTGTGAGGACCTCTGTGGGACGACCTCCAAGATTATCTGCTCGATTGTATCCCACCTCCACACGCCGTGCGCACAAGGGAAAGCACAGGCCCTTGCCCATGGTAGTCCCCCCACGCGAACTCAAAACACCTTTTGCGAAACCAATATATGGATGATGTTGTTTGGGATCTTCGCCCGCTGTGAGCCTCCGTGAGGACCTTAAGGTCCCCACGAGCGAGGTCCTCATGCGTAGATGAGGACCTCTGGCTGACTTCCTGCGGTGCTGCGGCGCGCTGTCAGGAACAAAGAAAAACGATAGCGGGGGAGCAAGAAAAAGAATTTAACACACAACTCTCTCGGACCCTGGGCACGGGACTGGCGCGCACTGGCACAGGTACACCACGGGAGCCGCCTAGCGACTCCCGCGAGGGCGGCAAGGCACTTAGCTCCGTCGACACCCAGACTCGGTCGGTGAACGATTCGATCGATTTCTTCTGAAAACAAGAAAAACAGGAAACCGGGAACGTGATGCACGTATCACACCGAGAAGCGTCGACTGGTGCTTGGAGCACTATACACACCCACACCCTTTCCTATCCATGTAGTACAACCCACGTCAACTACATTTCTGTGCAGGCCAGAAGACACACAAACGGGCTGCGTGCGCTGGCTGGCAACCGTAAGCACACGCCTCGAGGCTATACCTGAAGGTGCTTACAGGCCCTGGAGAAGTACAAGTGAAGACGTCGACTCTGTGCGCCGTGAAGCAGGACAGGCGCGTGCTATAATTCTGAGGACCTCCGTTGGTGAGGACCTCAGATTGTGAGGACCTCTCTGTGGAGGTTGGGGACGACCTCCAATCTGCTGGACGTTGTATCCCCCACACGCCTTGCGAGGGATAGCACAGCCCCCTGGCCGCAAGGTAGCCCACACGTCCCCGTTTTCTCCAATGTATGGGATGATGTTTTGGATCCCTGGCCGCTGTGAGGACCTCCGACGACGAGCGGTCCGGAGGACCTCTCGCACATGAGGACCTCAAGTCCCCTCTCTCCCGGCCGGGGTGGGGGGCGTGCGCGGGGGCGGCGGGTGGGCGGGATGTCTGTGGCCCCGAGAGCAGCGATGTGCCATGTGTGTGTCCGCCTTGCGTTTGTTTCATAACATCGAAGGCTAGCTCGAAAAAAGTGAGGCATTGCTCATCAGCAGTCTCACAGGAGAGGTCCTCACGGGAGAAGTCCTCACTGGAGAGGTCCTCAGGCACGGGGACACAAACGCGGTCCTGATCAGTGTTGGATTAGCTCGGTGGCCTCGAGCGCAGCCAGTGCGACCTCTTGGGCGGTAGAGCGGCAAGGGCAACCGACGACTGCACGTCTCGACTGCTCGTTTGGGTGGAAAGGCTGCCTGCCTTGCGCGGAATCTCAACACTGGAAGTAAGAAGAGGTGACTTGTGCATATTGCTTGGGGTTGCATATTGGTTATTGCTTGAGGTGCATGTTGGTTCGGCTGTCGATGCATCATGATCGCTTATATGCTGCGATCTTTCTCAATCTGCCTGGGCGAGGTGAAAATGGCGTTTAATCACCTGCTGCGCGCCGCCTGCTGCACAGACTCCCTACCCGTCGGATCGCACAGGGCCCCCTCGGAGCAGCCCACACACAATCACGCATCGGCAGATTGAGTGCCTGAGTCAGGCAGACAGCACAGACAAGGAGAGGAGAGAGAGAGAGGAGAGAGGAGAGGGTGAGGGACACACACACACACACACACACACACACACACACACACACACACACACACACACACACACACACACACACACACACACACACACACACACACACACACACACACACACACACACACACACACACGCCCCGTGCACTTTTTTTCTGCAGTCCACCAGCGGGAACATGAAGCGCCGTCGAGAGCCCACCGCTGCGCTCCGCCACGACTCCACGGCTGCGCTCTGGGTGCCTGCGCTATCCGCCGCTCTCTTCGCCGCCGCCCTCCTCCTCTGCCACCGCCGCCGCCGGCCGCGCATCTGCGTTATCGCGCCCGGCTCGGGCCAGGCCACCCGCGCGATGCTCGGCGCCGGCGGCCTCCGAGTGCACCTCGCGGCGGGCCCCGAGTACGATATCAACGGGAGGCGGATGCCGCCCGACTGGGTCTCGATGCGCGAGGTACAGCTGCACGAGTCGGACGCGCGTGCCGCCGGCGTCGACCTGCTCGTCGCCGGCCGCGGCCGCGCGTCGTGCCTCAACCTCGCCACGCTGGCGGGCCGGCTGTTCGATGCGCCGTCGGGCGCGATCGTCTCGTGCGAGGTCCCGAGCCGCGTCCCGCGCCCTCAACCCGCGGCCAGCTTCTCGTGCCTCGTCTGCGGCTCGCGTGGCGGGCAGGCACGCGGACGCGCCCCAGCTTAGCTCCCCGCTGAGCGCTGACATACGCACGCTGTGCTACCTGTATCTCGGCTGCATCTCGCCCGTCGACTCGCCTGCAGGTGACGCTGCTTGCGCTCTAGACTGGCCCGTGTGATCCCGGCTGCTCATCTCGGCTTCCTCTCGCCGGCCCCCACATGTCTGCAGGTGACGCTGCCGGCGCTGTGGCTGCTCGGCTGCCGCGTGCCCGCCGTCGTCATCAACGGCGGCTGTGCGCGTCAGCAGGCGTGTAGACAGAGAGGGAGGCGCGAAGCACAGAGAGTGCGACCAGCGACTGGGACACCACAGCGGTGTGTGGGTGGACGCAGGACGGGCGGTGACGCAATATCTAGATAGCCTCAAACAACGCTTTTATGGTCAGACAAGAGCGACACAGACACAAGACAAGGCACTCACCCGACGGGGCTGCCGCAGGCGTCGTGGGCCTGGCCATCCGGAGTGCCCGTCGTGCTCCTGACGGGCGGGAGGGACTCCTTTCCTAGACGCGGAACACGTATTCATGTCTCCCAACAGCCGCATTCCACACACTGTGTTCACTGTCTGCGTAGCCCCTCGCATTCACGCGGTGCTCTGAATACGCTGCACGTGTACTCCACCGCTCTCATGTCGCGGCGTATCCAGCACGTAGGACTACTTCTAACGAGCACCGGGATCTCGAACGCCGTTAATTAGTGCTGACTAAGGAGTAATTGCTTACGTGATTAGGACTACTTCAACGAGCACCGAGACGCGCTCGGGTACGATGGCGACGAGAGGTACCTCGCCGAGCTCTGCGCGGCGATCTCGGAGAATCTCGGGGAATCTCGGGTAGTCTCTCGGGTAATCTCGGGTAATACTAGGTACCTCGCCGAGCTCTGGGCGGCGATCGAGCCGCGGTGCCCCGGCCAGCACAGCGGGCCATCCTCCACGTGCCCGGCACCTTCTCGGAACCTTCTCGGAACCTTCCTCTGCAGGTGCCGGCCAACAGCGGCCATCCTCCACGTGCCCGCCGCAGGGCATGGGTTCTCGGAGGAGCTGCTGCGGCGCCTGCTGCCGCCGCTCGTCCTCTGGGCGGCCTCGGGGCTCAGCCCGCAGCGGCGGCCAGACTTTCAAGGCCGCGAGCGCGGGCAGCAGCGGGCGGGCGGCGGCGGGCGGGCAGCGAGCGCCGCCGGGGGGCGGGCGGGCGAGGGCGGGCGGGAAGCGATTGTCGGAGGGGGAGAGAAGGTGGAGGCAGAGGCAGGAGCGCTCGCGGGGCAGGTGGACCTGTCGCCAGTCGTTTGGGCGTGGATAGCAGGCTCAGATCTTGGAAGTAAGGTGTTGCCTCCTCTAGGCCGCGTCCGCCCTCGCGCTCGTCCTCGTCCTCGTCACCTCCGACGGCAAAACGCGGATTGAGGCGCGCCGCCGAGCTCGATCTTCGGTGTTGCAGGGCTGTTGTTGGGGCCCTATCGTTGGTTTGATTCCCCTACAGGCGCCGCCGCTCTCGCGCAGCGCGATGGCGCCACCGCCCCAGCGCACGACGGCCGGGAGGCGCCGGCTGTCGTCGCGAGGGTGACGTGGCGCGTAACAAAGTGAGTGAGTGAGAACACACACTACGGCTCTACTACAATGAGGTGCCCCCCCCCCCCCCCCCGTTTTTTTAAGTAGTAAAGTAGACGCCGTTCAAGGTTCGCTCAGCCTCAGGACTCTCTGCCGCACCTCTGCCACGGAGCACGGTCTGCAGTCCCCGCGATGGCCCACGGTCCTCCGTCGCCAGGTCGAACCCCCTGCCTCCCGGTTGACCCCCCAGTCCTCGTACTCGACCATTAAATAAACTCAAAGGTCCACCACTGCCTCCAGCCTCCACCTCCACCGTCGAGCCGCGATCGCTGCCGCCCGCGACGCCGCCCGCCGCGTCGGATGCCCGCGACGCCCGCGGCGAGTCGAGTCGGAGAGCCGAGCCGCACCAGCAGCAGCATCTGCGCCAGCAGCAGCAGCAGCAGCAGCAGCAGCAGCAGAGAGAGGCGCCAAATTTGAGGTTGCCCGAGACAGCCCGGAGATGGCCCCGCGTTGTAGCCCCGGTGCCGGCGCCTCACATCCCAGCATCCAGGGCCAGGTTCCGCCGCACAGTCGAGCAGGAGGAGCTCGGGCACAGTTTTGTCGACAAAGAGCTTGATCAAAATTTCGCCGAAGAAGCGGCACCGGCGGCACGCCGGGCTGAATCCGCACCGATCCCATTGTTCGGCACCGCGACGGCGAGCCTCCGCGGGCCCACAGGAGGGCTCGGAGCCGCGGCACCGGTCCGACAAAAACAAATGACGTGTGAGTGTTAGATTTGTTTGGTATTGTGTCCAGTCCGAGCCTGGCTGTTCTTCACCTTACTACCTACCTACCTACCTACCTATTGCTAACTAAAAATCTCTCTCTCCGGTCCGCGCCGCCAGCGGGGCGAGAGCACCAGCCTACAACCTGCCGACATGGCAGTTGCGACGGCGCTTTCACACACACACACACACACACTGGAGCGAGGAGGCGACAGGAAATGCTTTTTCGGCCTCGAAGAGCAATTCACAACCCTCAAGTCCCTCTCCTTCTCGGCAGCCGTCGGCCCAACTCACCTAACCACACCATGGAGCCAGCGGCCAAATGCCTCGAGTCGGTGGTGGCCTCATTGACACCTCCTAGGCGCGCAGACGCTGCTGGTTTGTGGTGGTGGGAGTGGCGGCAGTGGCGACGATGGAGGGAGATGTGGCGGCAACAGCAGAGAGTGGAGCCTGTGTCAAATGAGGCGGACCAAGCGGCGGCGGCACCAGCGGCGGAGGTGACAGTGGCAAGGGCGGTGGCGGCATCAGTGGCAGCGAATGCGGCGGCTAACGCCGTGGCGGCGCAGGAGAAAGATGAGGCGGCGCAGGCGGCGGCGGCAGCTGCGGCAAAGGCGACAGTGGCGACGGCGGTGGCGAGGGCGGCGGCGGCGGCGGCGGCGCAGGAGAAAGACGAGGCGGAGCAGGCGGCGGCGGCAGCTGCGGCGAAGGCGACAGTGGCGACGGCGGTGGCGAGGGCGGCGGCGGCGGCGGCGGCGCAGGAGAAAGACGAGGCGGAGCAGGCGGCGGCGGCAGCTGCGGCGAAGGCGACAGTGGCGACGGCGGTGGCGAGGGCGGCGGCGGCGGCGGTAGCAAGCAACGCCGCGGCGGCGCAGGAGAAAGACGAGGCGGAGCAGGCGGCGGCGGCAGCTGCGGCGAAGGCGACAGTGGCGACGGCGGTGGCGAGGGCGGCGGCGGCGGCGGCGGCGCAGGAGAAAGACAAGGCGGAGCAGGCGGCGGCGGCAGCTGCGGCGAAGGCGACAGTGGCGACGGCGGTGGCGAGGGCAGCAGCGGCGGCAGCGGCGGAGACGCAAGTCGAGATGGCTGATGTTTGTGAGCCGATCGCACCGGCGAGGGAACGGCGGCCAACGTCAGCGCAAGTCTCTTGCTCCGAGCAAGCGCTTGCCCGCTATCTGCGTCCGCTCCTCTGCGAGCTCCAAAGATGGCTTCCCCTCCTCACCACCATCCTCCTCCTCGCGCTCTACCACCACCGAAACTACGCCACGGGGGCGGGAGTCGCTCCGCCGCCGCTACCCACTCCGCCACCACCACCGGGCCTCCCTAGTGCGTCTTCCTGCCCCCGCGTCGGGCCACGGTGGAGCACTCTCACTTCCAGCGCTCTCCTGTGACGCACTATAGGGACTCTGGGCCTCGGCCCGCTGCGCGAGATCGTGGTTTCGCATGTCACTGCCGCGAGGACACGCGTGGGCGCTGCTGCTGCTGCTATCGCAGCCTCCGCCGTCCGCAAGGCTGGCCCCGCCTCACCTACCTCTCGTGCCATACGCGCTAGCACACGGGCTGCGCGGCAGGCTTTGATCGGAGCCGTCGCGTCCGTAGCGGGGCATCCCGATTCGTGATGGTCGGGGGTGTTGCGTGAGAGCTGAAGGCCGAGCCGTACTCACGCGCTGTGCTGCCCTCGCGCCGCGCTTCTCTCACACCCGGCGACTAGAGTAAGCAGGTTTGCATGGGCCGGTCTCGGCGTCGTGGTGGGGCCATTGGAGATGTCGGTTCCCCACCACGCACCGGACTTTTTGTAGCGGTGGAGAGAATTAAGGAATCTTTCTGCTGTAACCAACACGCTGACGACTGACATCGCTCTCCAGTCTCCACTCTCCTCCATTCAGATCACCGATGGTGTGAGTAGTCTTCACTCATAACTGTAAATTACAGGTAAATTACCGTCGGAAAGCTGTCAGAACGGAACAAAACAACTCAACACTCAGAACGGCTTCAGAACACTGTCAGAACGCTGTCAGAACGCTGTCAGAACGCTGTCAGAGCGCTGTTTCAGAACGATGTCAGAACGCTGTCAGAGCCTGCGGGGTGGTCAAGTGCGAGAGCGGCGAGTGGACGACGAGCGAGCCGAAGGCGGCGACGAGGCGTCCCGATCTGCACCTTGTCCCCCAGGCCAAAGCCGGCCGTGTCGACGACCGCCAGCCGAGTCGCGCCCGCCGCCAGCACGGGCTCGCTCAGCGTGGTGGTTCGACTGCCACACAAACCCGAGACGGTGATGGGAGGCGTCGTGTGGTGATCTCAGGCCCAGTGAGGTATGCTGCTGTGGCATGCCTCACGGCTGCGACTGGCCGGCGCCTCGGCGCGTCAGCTCGGCTCGGCGTAGCAATAGTGGCCAGCCCAGCGCAACTCGCCTGGACTCAACGCTCAGCCAGGAGCTCCCGCACGCGCTGGCGCGAGGCATGGCGAATGCAACGCGTCTGAATGCTCGCCTCGCTCGCGCAAATGCGACCGTCCTCGCAGCCGACAGTCCACCGCCTGCTAAAGAAGCACAGCGACAAATGCGGCACCGGCGACACATGGCAGGCTGGTCATGACGCAGTTATAGGGTGTTGTGTGCCGTCGGAGTCACTCTCTGTGTGTCAGGGATAGTCAGGGCTCTGTCCATCAGAGCTCCACTAAGCTCGGAGACACCCCATTAGCGCGGCTCGACCTCTTTGAGTCACTGCCTTCCCGGCGGTTTGGCTGTAGAGCCTCTACAACAAACTCTACAGCAAAATCGCGCTCTACATCGCTCTACAACGGAGGCGCTTCGTCCCGCGGCGGATGTAGAGCTCTACAGCTCTACAGCGCTCCAGAGCGCTCTACATCTCTACAGCTCTACAGCGCTCTACACTCTACATCCTTTACACCCTCCTTAAGCGCCATCCCCTCTTTTCCTCCCTCCCCCCCCCCCCCCGCCTCCCCGCCGCCTTCACCTCCCTCCCCGCGGTGAGCCAGGATGGCGCCGGCGCCTTCCTCAACGCCATCCCTAAATGCGGGATGACATGCGAATGGAGAATTGGGCGATGCGTCTTTCGGTGCAGCGCCGCCTGGGTCTCCCCCTCGACGTGGCTTGCCAGGCCGCGGCGGCGGGCAAGAAGACTCGGAATGGGAAGACCCACGAC